TGCTGAGATGGGCCAATGATGATGAGAGGATGGCTATCAGGGGCTTCATTTTAATGTTAGACCTAACACTATGGTAATTTACTAACTTTATAAAAGTGAGAGAAAATATTACTGTACATTTGTTATAAGTTTGAAATCTAGAGAATTCAGAGTAGATTTTTTTTTCATTTAGTCAACTAAATGTATCTCTTTATGTAGCTCATTTTGTAGTGCCAGATGAAAATCTTACATTAATGCAACAACCTTCAACATCCAAAACCCAAATGCAAGAACAGAGACAAATGACTTCTGGTGGAGGAAGGCACAATAGTAAGAATAATAAGTATAGATATCTTTAAGTTATTTTAAATTAAACTGATTTGAAGATCTTTTTCTTTGGTTTATGAATTAGAATTTGATGTAGTTTATGGTTGAAACACTTTGAGCCAAAGCGTAAATACCCTAAGATAACTAGAGAACAAAAGCAAGAGTATTAAAACCTTTTGCTTGGTATTTGCATGGGCAGTAATTACTAAGTAAAATTACTGATTCTACAAACACTCTTGAAAACTATTATCAACAGAAATAACCAACTCTGTAGAAATAGTAATGTGATTTATTTCTAAACATGAATATGTGTTACCAGACCCAGAGAAAGGTGAACATGCCTTTCTGGGGGTGATCAGATACTGAAGTTCGTTTTATTTGGTTTGAGAGTGAAGGACAAGGTTTGGAATTTAGTGAAGAGAGTTTTCCATTCGTCTTTCTCCAAAAGGCAGGACATCTGGAAGCAGGGGCTGGTAGGCCATAGGGGGGTTTTTATAATTCTTAGGTTGGTAATTGGAAAAGGTCTATGTTTCAAAAAGGGATCAGCAAAAAGAGAACTTTAACAGAGATAAGGGGGCTTGTATAGGTCACAAGATACTGTCCCAAAGACAGCATATAGGAAGAGTCCTGTTATCAATGAGTCAAAATAGTCTGTTAATGTTTGTGGACCTGACTCACATATCCCAAAGATATTATACCTGGGACAGTATACAGGAAGAGTTCTGTTATCAAATGGACCAAAATGGTCTGTTAATGTTTGTGAGTGAGCGGTCCCTCTGGAAGGGATTTTGGAAATAGGAAAAAGCAGTAAGACTTCTGTCCTCACCATTCAACATGATTTTCTCATTTACTTCCATGGGTGGAAAGTTTATTACTTGTCTATTCAGAAGTTCCATTATGCACCTGTTTTTTCGATTTAGCATTTTCTTTGAAAAGCCCCCAAAAGGATATATTACTTGAAAAAGTATTGCCTGAGAACGTTTTATTATCAAGAAGCCAATCTCAAACTAAGAAACTTCAAACTACCAGAGATGAGAATATCATTAGTAAGTAATCAGTTATAAATCTTATAAATTATTTTTTCATTAATTCAGAACAGTATTGTGTTTGTTTTATAGATGTCTTTAACCATATGTTTCCTGAGGTAATTATTTTCATCATACTTCTGGATCATTATTGATGATTTATCTGTTTGTTTTATAATATGTTACATATATATTTTTAATGTCTCACTTTGGAGTTCTCTATTTTTTCTTATACTTGCATTAACTTTGCTTTATATCTTATCATGTTCCACTGTTTTTGTGCACGTAAATTTAAAATTCATATTTTTTTAAGGACAGAACATTTTGTCTTAACGAAGAGACCCACTTCATCCTTTTCATAGTTTTTGTTCATTGTTTTTTCCTTAATAATTACCTAATGTGCTGCTAATATGGCTCTACAAACTTTTTTCTGGTTGCCATTTGCACAGTGTTTTCTTCCATCTTGTTACTAAAGTAACCCAATAATAATTTCAATAATTTTGCTGTGTCTCTTGTAAGAATTTTGTACATACTTTTAAATATAGTCTGATAGTTATCTTCATCAGCTCTCATAATTATATATAATCTAATTATTTAATTGATATTTTTAGGTATAATTACACTTGTTTTAATCATTCTTATTTTTCCTACTTGATGTGTTTCTTTCATACCCTGCTATGTTTGTTTATTTGTTTGTTTGTTTTGCCATAGGGTGGATGTGCTCATCAGAGAGAGACAGATACAGTGAGAGACAAAGTGAGAAATCACTCCCCAGGGAAACAGCCAGGCCACAATCCACTCTCCTTCATTTTTCTCCTGGGATTTTGGGCATGCACGTATATACCTTGCATGATTTTCAACCACCGGGTCTAGGACTCAAATCTTGGTCAGATGTGTGGGAGTCCAGTACCCTAACCACCATAATACCTGCTGGCCCCTCTGCTGTGTTTTTATCATTAGATATTTTTCCTTAGTCATATTTGATACCCAAAACTTTAAATTTTATTCTAAAATGTGACAACAATAAGAAAACTAAAGAATAATTTTAAATATTAAAGAATAATTTACAATACTAACAGTCTAAGGAAGAAAAGGGAGTAAGTGCATTTATAAGGCATGATAATAATAAATAATATTTATAAGTTAAATGTATTTAGTGCCACTGAGTGTCTAAACAGTAACAAGATTTTTATATGTACAAGTGAAAAATTTATTCACATGTTTATATTTTAGTCAGATTGATAGACAAGTGTGATTTGCTCATATCAATAAAAAAAATGAGGGGAAATATTTAGATAATTGACATACATTGTATGTCAAGAGGCTCTAACACAGACCTGATTTTTTAGTGCTTTTAATTTTTAAAAGCCTTTCTTCCTGTAGCCCAGAAAAAGGTGATGTATCAGATAAAAATATACTGCCTGAAACAAACTAGTTGAAAAATTTAATAGTAAATATGATAGTAATGAATATTATTAAATTATTTTAATTACATTAGTTTTTATTTCAATTTCTCTTATACATTCAATAACACGTTACTTAACTTGCAAAGGGAATATGCCAACATGTGTACATTTCTCACCAGTCCAGTTAGCAATACTAAGAAGTTATCTTCAATAGATTATAACCCATTTCTTTGTCCCATAAATGACTTGCCTCTGTTTTTCTCCTTCATGTCCTTCTTAAGACTCTACTTCTTCCCACACTGTATCTGGTATTCACAACAATTTATTATGTTTCTATATCCTTTAGTCATTCAGTTTTGACCATAGAGTGCAGACACTCAGTATATATTAAGTGGAGACATACAATTTCTCTCCTTCATAGCCTGGCTTGCTTCACTCAGCTGTAAATCTTCCATATTCGTCCACTTTTCGTCAAAAGCCAGAGTCTTATTGTTTTTTTATGGCTGAGTAGTATTCCATAGAATGTATTTGCCACACTTTCTCAATCCATTCATCTTTTCATGGGCATTTGGGTTGGTTTCATGTCTTAGCAATTGTGAATAATGCTGCAACGAACATCAATGTATAAGCACTTTTCCAGTAAAGAATTCTTCTGTCCTTTGGGTAGATACCAAGGAGTGGGATTGCTGGATCATAAAATGACACAAAAAAGGGGAAGGACATCCCAAGTTCCTGAATTGGAAGAATTTGGCAATTCTACCCAAATTAATCTACATATTTAATGCAATCCCAATCAAAGTGCCAGAGACAATCTTCATAGATATAGAAAAGGCAATCATACAATTTGTCTGGAATCATAAAAGACCTCATGTCATTAAAGCAATCCTGCACAAGAAGAGTGGAGTGGGTGGCATCTCACTCCCTAACCTAAAAAATATACTACAAAGCTGTAGTAATCAAAACAGCATGGTATTGGCACAGAAACAGACAGGTGGACCAATGGAACAAAATAAAGTTCCCAGAAATAAACCCCCAATAAACAGCCAACTGATCTTTGACAAAGCCTACTAGTCAATCCAGGAGGAAAAGGATAACCTCTTTAGCAAATGATGCTGGAAAAACTGGATATCCACCTGCAGAAAGATGAATCTGAACCCCTACATCTCACCATTGACAAAAATCAACTCAAAGTGGATCAAAGATCTAAACCTAAGACCTCAAACTATACAACTGCTGCTGGAAAACACTGGGGAAACTGAGAGACATTGGGGGTAGGAAAAGACTTCTTTATTATTATTATTATTATTATTATTTTGGAGAGGTTTTTGCTACAGGGCGCATGTGCTCGCCAGAAAGACAGAGAGAGACAGAGAGACAGAAAGCAAGAAATCACCCCCCTCAGGGAAGATGGCCACACCATAATCCATTCTCCCCCATTCTCCTCTTGGGATCCTGGGCACACACACACATGCACCTGGCGTGAGTTTAAGCCACCAGGTCCGGGACTTGAACCGCGGTCAACTAAATGGGAGTCCAGCAACATAGCCATTACGCTAACTGCTGGTCCCAAAGATTTCTTAAGTAAAACCCCCAGAGCACAGTCAATAATCCCAAAAATAGAAGACTAGTTGGATTACATAAGATTAAGAAGTTTCTGCATGGCAAAAGGTACAGTAATTAGTGTGACTGGACAGCTCTCAGAATGGAAACATTTTTGTGAATTATGCATCAGATAAAGGACTTATAACCAGAATATACAAAGAACTCAAGCAGCTGTCCTGATAAAAGATGATTAACCCTATTAAAAGATGAGAGAATGAGTTGAAAAAACTACTCCATAAGGAAGACGTATGAATAACCAAAAAGCATATGAAAAAATGCTCGACATCCCTCATTGTAAGGGAGATGCAGATCAAAACCACAATGAGATACCACTTAACCAGTCAGAATGACTAAGATTAAAAAAAAAAAAAAAAAGTACTGGTGGGGGTGTGGTAAAAGGGGAACTCTCCTACACTGCTGGTGGGAATGTAAATTGGTCTAGCCACTGTGGAGAACAATTTGGAGATTCCTCAAATATCTACAAATAGAACTATCATATGATCCAGCAATTCCACTCCTTGGTATCTACCCTAATTACGTTAAATATTAATTAAGCAGAATTTTTTCATGGATGTGTATCCTGTTATAAACGTATTGACAACTATTAAGTCAATTTTTGTCATTTAAATTTCCTGTTTCTTGATTGTGTTAATTCTGTCAGATGAGTAATACATATTTAATTCCCTCACTATGCTTGTAGATTTATCTATTTGTTAGTTCCATCCATTTTTCTCATACTGTCCATGTTATTAGATGCATACAAAGATGTTAGCTATTCCTTATGAACACAATCTTTTCTTTTTATGAAAAGTGTCATCGTAGTCTCCTACAAGGTCTTTTGACTAAATTCTTTTTTTTCTGACATTATATGTCAGTTAAACTGCAGTTATTTTGGTTAGTATTTTGATAGTGTATCTTTTTTCTACATTTTTTTACAACTTAGTAATTTAGCGATGTCTCATAAACGGCTTTTCACAATATTGTTTTAAAATCTAGCATGACTGCCTTTGTTCTTGGAATGTGTAATTCATTTACAGTTATTGTACTTATTTATATATTGGGATTTAAATATTTCATTTTCAGGGAACTTTCCATTTTTACTACCTGATCCTAGTTTCCTTCTGCTTACTTATTTTCCTTATTTTGAAATTTTGATTTTTAATTAGTACAATTTTTAAATGCTTCTTGTTTAAAGAATTATTTAATTTTATTTATTCATTCTTTTATTTTAATTTGACCAGAGAGAGAAATAGAAAGAGAGAGAGAAAATGAGAAAGCAAGCCACCAGGTCCAGAACTCCAGTTGTGGTTGGCCATGTGGGAGTGTCCAGTACCTTAACCACCATGCCACCTGCTGGTCCCCAATTAGTACAATTTTTAAATCAGTCACATATAAGAAATCTTTGTCAGTGAGAAATTTAAAATTTTTTAAAAATGTGAATACCCTTAGTATAATCAATTCTAATTTGAACTTTCTGAATGTATGTATGGAATGATGCATGCCTCCATGTACTGTCAAGAAAAGTACTGATGATTTTTACAATTACCTTCATGGTCTTTTTTGAAAATTATGTGAGGACTTTTTTCCTTTTTTGTCGTTCATTTAAATTGTATTGATTTACTAAGTTGTTATAAAACTTACAGGAAACTTTGAATGGTTCTTGATATATATTAACTACCCAGAGGCATCACAATAAAGGTGTTTCACTTTTTATTGTAGTAAAACTTTTCTTCTTGTTAAGTAAATTCCTCAAGATAAAGGTTTAATCTTAAAAATTCATCTCAAATTAAGAAATTTGGTAATTCCAGAAAAACAGAGCTTAGCGGTAAGCATAATTCTTAAGAACACTGAGCCAGTAGTGTCTACAGCAGCCATATCCCACATGGCTAGTTGTGTGGTTCATATCCCCAACCTGATAGCTTGAAGAAAACCACACTGAGCATGCATGTATGCTTGCCCAAAAATCTCAAAAGGAGAAATGGAAGAGAAGGGATTGTAGTATGACCTTTCTTAATACCCTTCCCTTTCTTGCTTTCTCTGTCTCTCTCCATGAGTTCACATGCCTTCTAGCAAATTGAAAAAAAAAAAAGCATAATGATTTTAAGTTGAAGTTCTCTAGAGCCTTAGCTCATAAATATATGTTTAGTCAATCATATATATGAATTTACATGTACCATGTATATATACATAAAACATAAAACATGCATGTGTGTTTATGTGGATATGTGTATGTATGTTTGTTCTTTTAGGTCAAGTTGATTAGTTATATTGTTCATGTGTTATTAACTTCATTATAGTTTTCTCTTATCATTTGTGAAAAAGATATTTTAAATTCTATTATGATAAGTGATCTCTCTACTACTCTTTGTAATTCTGTCAATTTTTGTTTTATGTTTGTAAAGCTTTTTAATTATATATACATATTTTAAATTGATATATGTTCAGTGTGCTGAAACTATGATAACAATTTTGTAATAACTTTTTTGTCTCTTGTCTATTTTGTAATAATAACATATTATCTTTATATAAGTATTTATATGTCATAATTTTAAAAATCTTTTTCCTTTTGATCTTTTTGTATTATTATGATTTAGCTGTGAATCTTTAAAATAAAATGTATTATGGTTGATTTTCTTTTAACTTGATGTGACAATCTTCATGTTTTAAATGTAGCATTCAATATCTTTACATTTAATGTAACTATTGGTATTTTAGGGGCTAATATAACATTACTTCTGTTTTCTATCTTTCCTGATTTGTTGTTTAATCTTCCTTTTACTTTTAATGTTTTATTATTGTTTCCTTACCCAAGTATATTATAAAACACATTTAACTTGGGGCCAGCAGGTGGTATGGTGGTTAAGACAGTGAACTCCCACATAGCCAACCACAGTTAAGTGCCAGACCCAGTGGCTTGAAAATCATGCCAGGCTATGGAAGAAACATACAGCAAAACGAAATATATTTAACTTAATTATAAAAGGTAAATACCTTATAAAATTATTCTTTAAAAAGTATTCCCGTATTTCTACACATCACATACTCAATCTATACATACTCATATAATTCAGTTCAGACCCAGTGGCTTGAAAATCATGCCAGGCTATGAAAGAAACATACAGCAAAACGAAATATATTTAACTTAATTATAAAAGGTAAATACCTTATAAAATTATTCTTTAAAAAGTATTCCCGTATTTCTACACATCACATACTCAATCTATACATACTCATATAATTCACTGTTTCTACCTTGTGATATTTAATAATATCATTTTCAAACATGAGAGAAGAGCCAGCAAGTGGTGTGGTGGTTAAGGTGCTAGAACCAACAGAGCTGACTGTGCAGCTTGAGTCTTGGATCTAGTGACTTGAAAAACATGCTGGGTGCATGTGTGTATGTGCCCAAAATTCCTAAAAGAGATTGGAGGAGAAGATACTGTGGCATGGCTATCCCCGTTGGGGATGATACCTTACTTTCTCCCTCTCTCTTTCTGTCTGTCTCTCTTCAGTGAGTATACATGTCCTATAAAACACTAAAAGAGAAAGAGAAAAAAAAATGTTGCTTAATAGTTGGCATGTATTTGGGAACCAGCAGTTAGCGTAATGGCTATGTCGCTGGACTCCCACGTAGTCGACTGCGGTTCGCGTTCTGGACCCGGTGGCTTAAAACCCACGCCGGGCGCAAGTGCGTGAGTGACCAAGATCCTGAGAGGATAATGGAGGAGAAGGGATTGCGGCATGGCCATCCCCTCTGGGGGTGATTTCTCGCTTTCTGTCTCTCTGTCTCTGTCTGTCTGGCGAGTGCACACGCCCTATAGAGAAAAACATCTCAAAAAAAAATAGTTGGCATGTATTTGAATTACAGAAGTTTTCCAATAAATCCCATTTCTTAAATGGATTAAAATAATCTTTTTGTAGCTCAGAAAGTGGATGATTTATTATATGAAAATGTTTTACCTGAGGATAAAATTGTGTTCTTGAAAAGCCAATCTCAAGTGAAGAAACCTGAAGCTATCAAAATGGAAACAATAACTAGTAAGTATGATCATTTCCAATATCGTTGATTTATCTTTAAAGAAAGTAAGGAATTTTACTCTTAGTTTTTGAATGTTTAATGAATCATATCTTTAAAATGTGTTTATTATGTTGTTCAGTTCTTTATCTTATTTAACTTTTGTCTGTTTATTCTACGTAACAACAGATGTCTGTTAAATTCTTCCACTGTGATTACAGATCTTTTTTGTCTCCTGGTAGTTCTATCATGCTGACTTATACATTTGGAAACTTTGTTAGTTGATGTGTACAAATGTAAATTTGTTATATTTACCTGGTAAATTGCACTCTGTGTTTTAAAAGTACATTCTTTATCTCTAAAAATGCAATTTTGCTTTCACATTTATTTTGACTGATGCTAGTATTGCTACATGTGTTTTCTTGTGATAAGTATTTACATAGTCTTTTGCGAACAATTTAGATAGAGGTTCATGATTCCTATGTGGTCTCAGTATTTTTTTCATAATGTCCTTGATCCACAGAAAAGCCCAATAATTCCTTTGTTAATTAGCTATGCCTCTAACTTGGAAACTGTTGGGTACTTCTTAACTTCTGTGATTTTCCTTTCTGTTAGGTAAATACTAAGTTGAAGAATTGCTGGGTGACATAAGACTATATTTAACTTTTAATGAAACTATTAAACTGTCTTCAAAGTGGCTGTACTGTTTTGCATTTCTACCAGCAAAGAATGAGGATTCCTATTGCTCCACATACTGGTTTAGGATTTTACTCATTCTCATTGGTCTGTAGTGATGTTTCATTATTGATTCAATTTGCAGTTTCCTAATGATTTATATGTTGATCATCTTTTTATGTTATTTTGTTTACCTGTATGTCCTTTCAATGAGATACCTATTAAATCTTTGGCTTATATTGTAATGTTATTTGTTTTCTTATTGTATCAGGATTGTGGTTTTTTTCTAATCATTTATTTATTTATTTTTACATTTTTCCACAAACATTTACTTTACATATCAAAGACAGTATGGTTTTAAATATTTTTAAGAAAATACTTACAAGTCGACTACTCAAACTGTTGAAAAGCAAACACACAGTACACAATTCACACATAAACCTTCACAGTTCAGCCCTGCCTACCAAGTATTCTGTGATATTCCATCTGCTAGCAAAGATCGGTCTCTTTTTCTTCCTTTAAAGTCTTCCTCAAGGTAATCCTCTGATTGTGGTTGCTCTTTTGCAATCTCTACTAATTACAATGCTGTTCTGGAAAAGTCCAGGTTATTTTATGGTACAAATTCTTTCATATGGCTTCTCTAATCCTCTCTGCCAGGCAGAACTGTTTATGATGCCAGGCCACCTTTCAAAGAGCTTTTGTTTGCTTAATTCAGATCTACCTTAATTCCATAGTTTCCCTTTTTTTTTTGGTTAAATTTATTTATTTACATTCATTCTTCACTGTACATCATTACAGCATACAAAGTGAGATTTTCCATCCAGAGTACACTGTATATTGTCTCAATCAAGCACATCAGCATACATGTTATTGTCAACAAATAATTTTCCATTTATTTCCTTTTCCATTTCTCATTTCTTATTTCTTATTTGCTTTATTTTTCCCATCCTTGATTCCCTATCTCTTACCCTCGGCCATCTCCCACTCTTCTCCCACACCACCTCTGGTATCTATGTGTGCTTTCTATACTTTTCCCTCCCCCATATTTTTTTTAATTTACTTTTTTATTTTTTCATTTCATTTTCTTCCATACATTCAATCACATTATTATTTATCTTACGAAATGGATATTTCAGCAGATGAATACCTTTCCCCAGCACTGTCGATAAAACCACAAAACATCTTCAACAGATAATACCACACCTCTTTGTGCCATTAATGCTTTTCCTCCCTGTTTCTCCCCCAAATGTCCTTCCTCAGACCCTCATCTTTCACACACACTATATCTGGTATTTACATCTATATATTGCGTTTCTACATCCTTTAGACAATTAGTTTCAGTCATAGAGTGCAGACACTCGGTATATATTAAGTGGAGACATACAATGCCTCTCCTTCATAGCATGGCTTGCTTCACTCAGCAGTAAGTCTTCCATATTCATCCACTTCCTGTCAAAAGCCAGGGTTTTTTTTTTTTTTTTATGGATAAATAGTATTCCATTGAATATATGTGCCACAGTTTTTCTAACCATTCATCAGTTCGTGGGCATTTGGGTTGCTTCCATGACTTGGCAATCATGAAAAGTGCCGCAATAAACATCGATGTGCAAGCACTTTTCCGATAAAGTATTCTTCTGTC